CCCACGGAGGAGGGGCGCGAGGAGCCCTCGCCGAGCCCCGCGTCCCCGCCCGGGGCGGGGCCGGCCGGCGAGACCCGCGCGCGAACGCGGCCCGAGGCGGGGCTCCAGCGCTCCACGGGGCCGGCTCGGCCGGACCAAGTTGAGCAACCGGCGCCGGGAGGCCCCGCCCCGGCCGCGGGCGGGGAGGCCGCTCCTGTCGCCTGATTGGTGGAAGGAGCGGCCTATCGCCGCCCGCCGCCTCCGCCGGAGCCGTTTGCTGGTCTCCGTTCATTGGCCCCGGGGCCGCCCCTGGATTTCCATCTTTTGTGGCGCGAAAATAACCCTTTGCTCCCTCGTTGGTTTTGTTGCGGTGGAGGGGTGGGACTGGGGACCCGGTTCTCGCTCTCGTTTTTCCTGTCCTCTAGCCGCTCTCCCCCGGCCCCGGCCCCCCAGGAGCTGCAGGGGTGGGAGCGCTCAGGCAGGGTGGGAATCCTCCTGCGTGCGCGAGTGGCGCCCGCCCCCCGGGCTGACCGCGTGGTGCCTGGAGTCGCCTCCCTTCCCCCAGCGTCCAGCGTCCGGAGGTCCTGGACGCGCGCCATGCTCAGCAGCTGGAGTCACATCTTCGTTTCCCTGCCCACTCCCAGCATCTTAGAATTTAGACGTCTTTCTTACTTAAAACAACGACAGCAAAATAACGTTGCCAGACACCTGAACTTCCCTGGGCTTCTAGAGAAATCGATTCGTTCTGCCCCCTCCCTTTCTAACCTAACCCCCTTTGGGGTCCCCGGGGTTGTTTTAAGCAAAATCAAACAACCGCTCCCAAAAAAGCAAACGAAAAATTCCGGGTAAGATCAACTATGCCAAGACCACGTTTTCGTTGAAGCTGCCCTAAGACCAGTGAAGCTGAGACCGACCTTGAAGGATTAACGATTTCTGTAGCTGAAATGTTCTAATTTTACTGACGTTTGGTGGAGACGGTGAGAAAAAATAGATATGAATTTGACTTGGAAAAGCACAAAACAAACGAAATAATCATAATTGATCTGATTAACTGAAAAGGAAAACAGCTACAGTGGTGTATTCTAAGTGCTGGTGTCTTTGGTGGGTTTGTAATTATGTAAATAAATTGCTATTGGTCGTTTCAAAAATAAATTAAAGATCAGAACTCTGGCCATGACAAAAAAAGAAGGAAGTATACATTTGTTTGGTATGTCTAATTTCATAACAGGCTTCACCAGTCTTAAATTGTCTGAAGAAAAGGAAATACACCAGTTAGGAATAAAACTTAATTTGTTTCCAGATAATTTCATTGTTCATTTTTAAAATCTAGACAAAATACTCGATTTGGTTAAAAAACGGGCAAAACAATAATTCCTCTACAAATATTTAAAAATTTGAGACAATTGGTTTAAATCAGTGAATTCATAGATTTTCTCTGTATTGTGAATTCTTGGCTATAGTGCTGTTACATCATCCCCTTTTAAGTTCTTCTGGAAAAATTCTCTTTTAGTTCTGTACTATTTAGTTTCTCATCTCTAAAAAGTTACTTGAGCAACTTTTATAAACATTTT